GTTAGGCACGAAAAGCAGTATCGTAACGATAATAATCGTAGCCAAACTGTTTTATCAGATACTTCTGCTCGCTCGATTCCATTACATGCCAGTGATAGTAGTCCAGATTCTACCGCAACGCCGACCCATGAAGAACACCCCGTCTCGATCACTCGGTCCTCAAGCCATATCAGCAGCCATCTTATCCAACCGATCAAGCAGTATATCAGCATGATGCTGCTGGAAGATCAACATCGGCCTCAATCTCACAGCAGACGCACCACTCCCACCAATATTGATACCCATCGTCTTGGCCCTCAACAAGAACTGATCCCTCTTCGGGTGGTCAAACGCAATGAACGTTCCCTGGCCCTTTCCTCTCAAGTTCTCGAATTGACCCGGGTACTTCTGTCCCAGCTGCTCCAGCCCGTTGTACAGGTACTCACCCGTCACAGCCGTGTTCTCGACCAGATTCAACCGCTCGATCTCGTTGATGATAGCTCTGAACAGGATCGCCCTGGCTGGGTCACCCATCCACGTGTTGAATTGTCTGTATGGCTTGTTGGGTCGTAGCTCCGGGTTACCGAAGTAGTACCCAGCTGTCTGCGCCTTCTTCGAGAAGGAGACCATATCCGGCGGTGAGCTCAGATTCCAGTGCTCGTGAGCCCAGAACTTTCCTGTCGCACCCACACCAGTCTGTACCTCGTCGACTATCAGCAGCACATTGTGCTTCTTCGTGATGTCCCGTAGGCCCTGGAAGAACGCCGGCGAGGCGTGGTTGTCTCCTCCCTCTGACTGGATTGGTTCGACGACCACCGCTGCAACGGGGTTGTGGTATGTGCTCATGACGTGCTCCGCCTCTTCTAGACATCTCTTCTCTTCGGCTGCGTTCTCGGCTTCGTGCTCGTGCAGGGGATACTTCAGCATGGGGAAGCTGCAGCTCGGCCAGTCGAAGGCGGGGATGTCGAGTTTGTGAATGGCCTTCGAGCGGGTGGTCGACAAGCTACCAAAAAGACGGCCGTGGAAGCCAGTCTTGAAGGACATGATGCTGAAGTTCGGGCTGCCGGGGCTGAGGTTGTTCATAGTAGAGCTTATCTCATCTTGCGTGAAGTCAACGTTTGGACCACCGCGCTGCTGCTGGGCCTTCCACATAAAAGCGGCTTTGTATGCTGTTTCATTCGCGTCCGAGCCAGCCATGGCGGTGAAGACTTGGTCGCAACCTTTCGGGGCGACTCGTAGGATACCGGTCTCAAGGATGTCGGACCAGTCAGACTGTGGGAAGTTGCCGAGCGCTGGTCTGTTGATTATGGCAGAGACCATCTCGTCTGATCTGGATACAGCATCTAGGTTTGGGTTGTTGTAACCGACGGGAATAGAGGCGATTTGAGCGTAGACATCGAGGAGGATGTTTCCGTCTAGATCAGCAATGTAGTTGCCAAATGACTGTTTGTAGTTGGCCAGCATGTTCAGGGATCTGGTGTCGAAGACCTTGTTGAGATGGGTGATGGCATCTTTGCTCTTTGGGCCAGGAATTGCTGTTGCCACTGATGGGCTGCTTGGTTCTTGTTCGAAGAACGGTGCTACGCTTGCTGGCTCATCGTGGTGTATTGCTGCTGCTACGGCGGCTTTCTGCGGCTTCGTTGCGGACGCGAGACATCTGCAAGTCACTCGTTGAGGAGCAGCAAGTCTAGTGAGCGGCCTCAGTCGAGCTACGTTTCTGAATGTAGATGCCATTGCGCGTAAAGTAGTAGCTGTGAGAGGAGATTGTACTGTGCAACCCCGAAGACGAAGAAGATGAGCCGCAAAGCTGGCACTATCTTGGTCAGTATATCAATTCCGCAATCGACTGTGCTCGTGTCTTTGCGGGGACGAATTTCGCGCTAAAGACAGTCTGCAGGGCGTGCGATAGCTGATCTCCGCCACAAGGCATGAATTGAGTTTCAGCGGCGAGGAAAGAGCATGGCTTGCACGGCTGCATTTGCTGTAAAGAGCAGGGCGATTGGCATTCTACCTCGTTCCACTTGTATGGCTTTGGGCCCTCCAGCATGTCCTCACGCAGTGATAAATTGTGGGAAGTCAACATCTAGAAGCTGGCAACCACAATCGTCTGTCGCATCTAGCCTCAGCACGCCAATTCCCCAGATGGTAACTGCAAGCCGATAAGCTTTTCTGCTGAAGCTAAGCTTAACCTAGCACTAGCCTGGTAGTGAAGACACGAAGATGCATTGAGAAAGTCTTTCCGGTCGAGGCACAAAATCACTTTTGAAGCAATATTTCCATCGTGGAGCAAGTTTGAGGTCGGACTACTTGTATAGCCATGTTGCTGCATGGGCGAGAACTGTGTTTTATAGTTTTACTTCGTTAAGACCACATAACAGCAGCTCTCTTTCCAGCCGCAACTTTGTATTTTCTATGGAATAAGGCGTTCACCATCCTCTGCTGTTCGGTTATTCTATCGATATTTACAACTTCTTCTCAGCTTGATCTGTGATCTGGTCCTGTGATAACTTCTCCTGGCCTGGTGCTGCTTCAGCTTGAGGTCCGTCCGATGCTCCAGTCACAAACTCGCTCTGCTGTGCGATATGCTCTGTATATCTTGTGCTGCCCTTGGCGTTGGGGTCATGAGTAACACCACCTGGTACTTGGTGTAGGCGCTTCGAGTCGACTTGGGAAGGTAATGCGTCGCCAGTGCCAGTCATGATCTCTTGGTTTGCTGTGTCTCTGTTGCTCTGTCACAATGTTAGGATTGAATATCTTTGCCGGACTCATGCTGCCTTACTCTAGGGATGTCTCCAGCGTTAGTGGCTGCTCCAGCAAGAGTCGTAGATCCGAGCTGGTTTGGATCGCTAGAATCTGCGCCTTCGCCTGGACGAGGTACAGACTTGATGTGTCTAGGCTCTGCAGCACTCTCTGGAACAGTAGTGCCCTTCGCGGCCATGTCGAGGATGTCACCTCCGCTGTTTCGTCCTTCTTGAGCCATGATGACTGTCTTTTGAGGTTGGTGTGGTTTGCAGGTGTTGGATAGCTACTCGTTCAGTTATGGATTCTTCGTTTGCAGTTTGTTCGAACGATTGAAAGACAAGACTGCATGGCACACGATCTTAAACCCCTTCGAAGCTGGAGGGGCATGCTGTTCGTCATAGTACTATGGTGTCAACATGATGTCATTTGCAGTTGCTCCTTCCTCCATCTGGTGGTACCTTGCATAGCATGAATCGTGACCTGGAATGTACTGAGATGGTGCCGATGAGCTACCAATGCTTCCAACCATAGCAAGACTTTTGCATCGTCCATTGCTCCTCTCTGAAAGATAATGAGTCGAAGTGTGATGAAGGAGCTTACAGCATGGGTAAGACAAATTCATGTTGACACTCCTGTTCTGGTATAGCGTCAGGCACGCAGGGCGATCCAACCACAAGAGCCCGCTTCCGGCTTCGCGACTTCCTGTGCAAGTTCGTGTCTCCAATCGCGTCCTGCTTATGAGAGAATGCCTGAAGCATGAATAACTTTCTCAAGCTGGCAAAGTGGCAGCAGTCATGTCAAAACGTGAAAGATCGATGCTCTGGCCACACCGAGACTCAGAAGGCACAATGGATCTGCTCGATACTGACAATGACTACCGAGTAGTTTCTGAGGCACTGAAACATGCGAGCAGGACATGGCTACGGTTAGCAGGTGACTGACCAACAATTGTGTTGTGAACCGAGGAGAGAACCTCTGGGTATGGCATAGTGTTGGACTCAACGATGTGATGCAATGTCTCTGCCATCGCACCGTACTGGTGTAAGTCATCTCGTTGTTGTACTGAATCACGATCCGGAACAGGTTGAGACAGACACTTGGCTGATCAGTTCTGCTGCTTGACCGCTGCAACTTCTGGAACTACAAGAACGGCATGAAGCTGCAACTCCGACAGCGTGCAGCTACAAGCTCAACCAACCCCTTAGACATCTACAAAAGTTTGCAGGTCAAACTCTTGCCATGCCTCAACCTTCTAGACCAGTCACCGCGAGCTTTTCCGGACCCCAGCCACTCGGTGCGGTGGACGTTAGCGACCTCCTGAATGTCAATCTATCGCTCGGCCTGCCTGACACAGCTCGTAATAACGAAAGTGAATGCGCGATATGCCAACAGCAATGCCAAGATACCGACATCCTACTGCAACATCAGCCCTGTCTCCATTGTTTCCATGCATCAGACGACTGCTCGTTACGCTGGATCCGTGAGAACTTAACGTGCCCGATGTGTCGATCACCAATCCGACGGACAGACCGATCCGAGCTTGTAAGTGGCGAAAAAGAGTGGCAGGCTTACTGGAATAAACGAGCGACACAACAAGACCAGGACCGTCCAGGTTATGCTGAGCAGGAGCAGTTCCGGAGATCAATATTCGTTGCGCGGGCCCGTGAGCACATCGATCGAAGCACTGCCGAGAGGTTGTTAAAAGAGATGGTGCAAAACGTAGAGTGGCAATTTACCCAGAATCTTGACAGCATGTTCGAGACTCAAGCTCGATGCTATAAGAACTTGACCAATTTCGAGGTATTCTTTAGGGAGTACTTCCGCTCCGGCCGACCATTGGAACGCTATCATCAACAGTTAGAAGCTAGTCTTGGTCCCATCCGAACGTCGATAGAGATTGACTTCAAGAAAGGCATATCCAAGTTGAAGGACGAACATGTGCAACATCGCCTTTTGATCAACGAAGTATACGACAACGCCGTTGTTCATGCCGAGCAGAACTTCAGGGACAGTGTTGATGCTGCATGTCAAGTACTAGTACAAGCTCGATCCCGCCAAGCAGATGCACACCGCTGGGAAGCTGACCCACCCGTGCCGAAGCCGATCAGAAAGGACTATCGTGCGCTCTCGGGTGGCGTGAGGGGTGTCTCTGGCCATTGTCCTGAGGTGCAATCCGAATGGAGATCATGAGCTCGACCTCTTTGTCCGTGCTCGGACGTGCCCACTGTCGATCCCTTATATGTCAGCTGTCGCAAATACATCTCACCAATCAACACAATGTCCTCGTAGCACAACGGTGGTGCGTCCGGTTGCAGTTGGGGCAATGCCTGGAAGGTTGTAGGTTCGAATCCTGCCGAGAACTTTTTTGAGCTTGTTGGCCGTATCTCTTTGCTAGGAGAGCTGGTCCTTCGCATGCAAGGCGTTGTTTGGGATGCATGTAGACGCGAGTTTGCATGGACACATCGGGCCTTCGGTAAATATCCAGTGTTGCTGGAATGTGGAATCGCTCGAATTATGCTTGAGTACAGATTTACTCTCTGAAACACAGTCGATCATAAAAACCTTGCTGGTAGTCTGGAGGCTGTATTCCAGAGAGAAAGGAGGTTGACCAGAGACTTGATCGTCCTATGGTGGTCAGATTGAACTTGAAGCAATGGTAATATAGTCGGTGGAATTAACGACTTTCAGCCACCTACGGCTACTGCTGGATCATCATCTTCCACGCGAGCCTTTTCACCATTGACCCGCCCCTTGTTCAGTTTGGCTTCCTTCTTCTGTTGCTTTCCAGACTTTGGAAGTTTCACAGACGATTCCAAGCCATCATGTCGTACCTGTGCTATGGCTGCCTGCTCGTCCTCCTCAGTCCACTCCCTTGGCAGGATGGCAAACACAAGATACGACGTGTGCGTCTTCAACTCCGGCTCAGCCCTGTGTATCAATATACCTTCATCCCAATGCTTCTGAACAGCGCTTTCCGTGCTGCTGTTCTGCTGAGAGCCATTCTTCCCTTTATTCGACTTGCCTGTCGTGTCCCGCTGGTGTTCTTTTGCATTCGCCTCAACCTCACGCAGTCTATCAAGTGCCTCGTCCACAGTCGCAGCCACAGGGTTGACACCTCTCATACCCTCGTACTTCAGGCCTGTGTACTCCCGCTTTACCTCAATGCGCTTATGTTGGATCTCGACCATTTCGATCTCTAGCCAACCGTGGCGGCGCATTGTGGAGACTGTCTTCTGGACTTGTTCTATGCAGGGGCTGAACGTGCAAATGTAGGCGGTAGTGCTCGGGTCTAATGCTGAGGGCTTTTCCGGTCTGCCTTGCCGTGTCAGGTGTGGTAGTGCTTCCCATGGGGCTGGTAAATCGAGGAAAATGCAATTCGCATTTGGGGACCGGTAGGAGCCGTCTGCTTCTTTCAGCCAGAATCCATCTCTGTAGACATCTCGATGTGTTGCCGTGACAATCGAGTCAAGGCCGTGCTCCCTCATTTCAGTCTCGACCTTCTCGTATCTCTCCTTATGGAACTCGAATGTGAGTACTTTGCCCGTGCTCTGTTTCTGGCCTTGTGTCGGTTCACGACCCTCCTCCGGCCTTTCGCCTTGAAATACTGCTCGAGCCGCTGCATGTGTGAAGCTCCCACTGCCACTTCCTGCTTCGATTAACGTCGATCCCGGTTGCGCTCGTATCTTCTGCAAGACATAGCTGTAGTCTGGCGTATACACCACCTGTGTTCGGTGAGGCAAGCTTGTCGTCCAACTCTCCGGTGTCGGCGGCAAAACGTGAATGAAGCCAGAAGTAGCAGTCGTAGCTTGCTTCAGTGCAGCAGACTCAGCGCTATCGTTCGGCGAATCAGTGCTGATGGCATTCGCCTTACGCTTCCGGCTCTGATTGAAGCTCTCTCTACCTCGAGTGCCCGTGTCGACTTTGCTTGCGAGCACTTGGCAGCCCCATGGAATGTCTATCAACGTCGAGTGTGGAAAAGAGCCAAATCTGGTATTTGTGACAACTCCTTCCGCATAACCCTGGTCTTCGGCTTTCGAGGCTATTGTAGATAGCTTGACGGGCAGTAATTGGTCGCGGCTGAGATGAAGGGACGCAGTCTGACCTTCGGTCGTGGTCGGACCTGGGCTGAAGAATGAAGAGTGCATCTTGGCGTGTCTCGGTTTTCGATTTCCTGCTAGCTAGGGATTCGCAACAACACTAGACATTACAACAATCGATAGTTGCGCATTCCTGGCTTACTCGGGCCCCGAGTGAAGCGTGCGAATCTATGATCGAGTGCTTGTTTGCTTTTCGTACACTTCGAGTGTCTGGAACAAATCAAGCCCGGTTTTGCGCTATATGGATGTGCTCTGCGCCGGAACGAGCGACTGTATTGTACGGCGAAGTATAAATGGGTCAGGCGCTGCGAAACGAATCATCGACCGTTGTGACTCGAAGTCACTCCTACTCACAACTTCCCGCAATCTTGAGGCATTCTGAATCAACACCATTTGGGGACTTCCATGCCAGCCCGACGATGCGGTTCCGAATACTATTTCACTATGTTACTGGCTTGAGCCTGTGAACAGCGGGACGCTTGCTGTATCGCTCTCGATCTCCTGTGCAGCTGCTGACTCCCACAAAGACAATGCTCGTATTTTCGAGCAAAAGCGGCCCTTGTGACAAGCTTGATGTTGCTGTCAACATGTCCGTTGGTAACCGCTATGCTGACCGAAGTGCAAGCGCCGTTCATAGAGTGTGATACTGACCACTAACTGCTGTAATCAAGCCTGATGTCTTGCACTTCTACTATACACTGTCACAACTACTAATGTACCAGAAAGCCGAGAACTATATCAGCAGTCCCATCTTCCTCCAGTTCGAGCTTTCCTCGCATATCTCAAACTGATCATAGCAGCCGACATACGCACCAAGGAAACTTAGTGCTTTCGACCACCACCTTCGTATTCCCAGAATCATCCTCACACTTCATCCCTGGCAACATGGAGAACATGGCAGATGATCAGCTTAATACGATCGTGAACGGAGAGGGTACAGGGTCGACCAACCTGGACACGATGATGATCGACGAGCGCGAGGAGCAAGGTATTTCAGCTGAAGATTTCAATGCTCACCATCTAACAATGCCTAAAGCCAATTCGAAGAACTCCCAAGACGCTATCCGAGCAAAGGCCGCGTCCGATGCAATTGCAGAGCTACTAGCAGCAAATCTTCCAGATGTTGAACCTCCCGCAACTTTGGAGCCCGCTGCACACGCTGCTCTCACCACCCGACCGAAGACCAAACCCACAGCGCCATCCAAGCCCAGCAACGCCCAGTCCAAGGTAGTCAAGAAGACAGCCCCAGTACGCAAGCAGACGCACAAACCCACGCCATCTCCAAACCTCAACATCTACCGCGACCTCTCCACGAGCTACAACGGCCTAGCCCGCGCCACAGAAGCGAACGATGCTCTTCGAGTTCTGGTCGCGCGCCAGACCAAACAAATCGCGTACATGCGAAAGAAGCTTGGAACAGACAAAGACAAGGAGATTGAGAAACTTCGATTCGAGGTTGCCAGTCTGACCAATGAGGTCTGGAGGTTGACGAAGCAGAAGGAGGGCGGTAGCGGCGAAAACAAAGAGAATGGCGACGATGTCATGATTGACTGAGAAGGTGTGCGTAGTTTGACTTCAAAGGTTATGGTGTTTTGGTTGAAGCATGAAGCTTGTGTCTCCTTCCAGTGGATGCCTGCTCTGAATGACGGGATATGGCCAGAACCACCACAAAGAGAACGAAAATTCATATTCTGCATCAGCAAATTTGTGTTCAAGCTCAACAGCAAAGCCCGCCATAGCTCAGTGGCAGAGCGTCAGCCTGTAAAGGACAAAGAGGAATGGTTGGGATCCTTTGTCCACAGAACAGTTGAAGGTCGTGTGTTCGATGCACACTGGTGGGAATCATTTTTGCCTTTTAGGAAAAACCCACCAGGAAGAACTTGTAGCCTGAATACTACGTGGATATATGTTGCTGTTATCCCCCTGGTACCTGTCTTTTGTTACTCCCGCTTACCAACCACATCACAATCATTTACCGTCAAGCAGGACTTGTGGTACCAACTACAATCGTTACCAATAACAACCATAAAACATCGAACAGGAGCCGACACCTCCAACCATATCCAGCTACCGTCAAGCAGGCCTTGACTACGACCGTCTCACATTCGCTACACCACCAAGACCACTGACACCTCCAATCACATCCCTCGCATTCCAATACACAGCATGGCCCGCGGCGAATGGCAGGCACATATGAAGGCTTCTTCGCCCGTAAAAACGGCAAAGGCATCGATCAACAAGAGAAACGCATGCGCCAATTCCCTGAAGCCGTAGAAGCTCTGAACCGGCGCCAAAAAGCCCACCCCGTTCCTAAACCACTAAAATCCCCAACCACCCTTGCGATGGAGAAGCTCTGCGCGGGACTCGATGCCGAGTCAAGAGAGAGGATAATGAAGGCTGAGGCGGAGCATAAGGCGAAGAAGGAGGATGATCTGTGGAGGAGGAGGGCCGATGAGGATCCGTTGGGACCAAGCTGGGCGAGATGGCAGAGAAAACAGGAGCAGGAGGCTGAGCGGAAGAAGCAGATGGAGAAAGAAGAGGCTGAGCAGAGGAAGATGAAGAAGGCTGAGGAGAAGTAGTAGCAAGGGGAATTCATCAAGGACTTGCAATCGCATGTCTAAAAACTTCGCTACTTACAGTCAATTTTCTATCTGAAAACAACGCAAAACCAGACCAAGAAGGATGCGACCAGTGAATATCAAATACACGCCCTTCATCTGTTCTGCGGACAAAAAAGCCCCACTTCTTCCTGTCTGAGATTAGTTGACTCCCTATTACCGAGCTGACAGCCTTGCTGTAGGGGCTTGAGCACAAATTTGCTAGACGCAGAATATGAGGGTTAGTACTGCCTGCTTTAAAACAACAAGATAGCTATGCCATACCAAACCCTCCAAGGACGTCGCCGAAACTGTTGATATCTGTGGCAGGAGCAGTAGCAGGTATTCTGACTGAGCCATGCTTGCACCCTCGTGTTGAAAAGTGACTCGTTCTCGCCCGGCGGCTGGGCCCACTACTTCTCCTTGCCGTCCAAATACTTGTCCGTCTCGCCGCAGCAGCCGTTAGCAAGTTTGTTTTCCGCTGGTACCTCCGACGGCAGCGACGACCTTCCTATCATCTTTCTTGCGGTGTTTCAAGAATGATTTTGTCTTGTGAAAGCGGCAAGCGCACAAAGCCATGTCTTCGACCGAGCCATCCTCGGAGGCATGTTGCGCTTGACTCTTGGGTATGTGGTTGCACTATGTCTCGTTAGTCAGATGAGTTTGTGGTGTATGAAGCAAAAGAAAAGGAATAGAACAGGAAGTCCCAGGGTATAGGCATTCGAACAGCTGACAGGCATTCATCTTCCATGTTTTCCAAAACATCCTCACATGGTTATTGACCTGGATTGAGCTCAAGGTTCCGTGCTCAGTTTAGAACATCCTTCCAGCAGAAGAAGCTCACCTTCGAACAGTGCCGCCTGCCTGCCTTGCTCTCAATATCTCGAGTTCGTGTTGACCGAAACAGTAGAACGAGCTCAGGGACAAAATTGCTTGAGCTGGATCCGCTCGAGTAACATGGCGTAGCTCATCCACCTTATGCATGACTCGTGCTACCTGCCTAAAATACAATAGTTGTCGCTTGCAAAGATCTCTTCCTTGAACGTTATCACCGACTCGCGATTGAGCTTCCTGCCACCCTCTCCCAGGCACTCTCCAACTTCGACTCAACCATCTCCTCCACAGGCACATCCCCCACGTCACTCACACCAATCCCGTGACTAGACTTGACTTCACCCTCAGTCCTGGCCTCTTGCTGCTGTTCAATTCCAGCTTCCAGGTTACTCGTGTATATCACCGCCGCGAAACTATCTAGTTCTCTGACTTCCGCATCGACTTTGCTCAGATACTCGTTTGGCGGGTTGCTGCCATTCCCGATGGCGTGGGCCTGCCTTGTCAGAATAGCGAGGATCGACGCGAGTTTGACACGTGGTTCGCTGGGGATGACAGTAACCGCGGAGTCGAGTTCTTGGATGCGAGGGTGTGCGCCAGGATACTGTGATGATGTATCCGACTGTGGTGGTGACTGAGTATTCGGTTGTGGGTACAGCTGTGCTATTACTCTGTTGTCGATAAGGTGGGTAAACATGCTGTTCAGGGTGAGCAGGTGTAACCTTGAGAAGGAGGGCGAGTCGACGAGATCTGCAGCTTCATCGAGGAGTCTCCGCAGTGGACCGCTCGACGTATCGACGTAGGATGTACGCTTTGGTTCTGAGGCTGGTGGAGATGGCTTATCGCTACCACTGCCTGAGGATGTACTTGGTGGTGTTATGACGCCACTCTCCACGAGTAACGACTCTTCCTCTTCTCGTGGCGGTAGGACGAATTGTAGCCATCTTGTGCTGTATCTTTCTTGCTCTGTCTGTCCTTCTACCTTCTTCCTCACTTCGAGGACAAGGTCGCTCAATCTCTGCTGGGTGATGCCTTCATTTGGTGAGATATTTCCGAAGACTTCTTCGACTGCCGTCCGCACTTTGTTCATGATCTGTGCGTAGCCGCGGTGGAGAAGATACCAGGAGAAGGTGAGGAATCGGCGATTCGTCTCGAAATCGTTGCCGAAATTTGCGGCGGAGTCGTCTTCGTGGTTCTCGAGGGAAATAGTGCTTGATCGTCCTGGCAGAGGAGGGTGTGATAAGGATACCACTGAAGAGAGGTAGTTCAGCCGGCCAAGGAGGTTCAATTGTATCCTTGTGAGGAGTATGAGAAGGGATATCGAATATATCATGGTGAATGCTCGGGTAATGCTCGTGATCTTCAGTTCGTTCCACAGCTGTGCCTTCGTTCTTCTCGGTCTGGGAATGTGACTCTGGTCCATCTGACTGGTATGCATGAAGCTACCAGTCTGGAAGCTCGACAGACTTGCCGAATCTCCGTCTCTTAGACTTGATGCTTCTGATGGTGCTGTTCCGTCGGTGGCGCGCTGTAATCGTTCTTGTTTCTTCTGCTGTAATTCCTGGGTGAGCTGCTCGGCCGGCAGTGCATCGACGATGTTCTCTGTCAGTGTAGGTAGCAGAGCCAGCACTGTTATGGAGCAGTCGATCTGGTTCTGCTCGAATCTCCTTCTGATACTGGTTGGGCATTAGCATGGTCCAGCCACAGATGGGACAACCTGTCGTACTTCTCCTTCGCGATCTTGTCCAGCTGCGAACGCTCCCTCGCGTCGTTGAACTTGCTGAGAACATATTGTCCTACCATATACGTGCCGCCGACAACGGCAGCTCCAACCGCGATCCCTGTTCGTTTCCTCCACAGCCACTTCCGGGTGGCTGATAACATAGTGATGAGGTCCTATCACGGTTGCGGCAGCTGCGTCATGGCGAGGAAGGTGCGATGAGGTATCAAGTAGGCGCAATGGTCGGCGATGAGGTGCTTGAAGCGGGTGTTAAGCTTTTGCTCCCCGAGTATGCTGGTCAACAAGTTGTATTGAGATGAACCAGAACGGCAAGGCCTCAGATGCCGAGGCAGGATTGCCATCAACGTGTCGCGAAACATGACCGACTATATGCCCGCTTGGGGGCATGACTGGTCTCGTGACGTCAATTTGAAAGCCTGAGGCGCCGACCGTTGAGGAAAAGGTATGCGCTTCGTTGAGTCAAGCTGCGCATTGCAAAGGATCTAGGATGTAGCAGTGATACCTGAACCGTGACTCCCACTTACGAGCGACAACGCTCCTGGCCTTGTCGCCATGCTATGAACGTTTTTTCTTCATGTCGGCGCCCATTGTTGGCAAGCCGATAATCCCTTCCTCAAGTACTGCCCGTGCCCCACTAAGCACGAGTTGCCAACGCGACTTTACGATCATCTTTGTACAGCATGGCCAATACACATAAGGAGTATGTGCTTGAAGTCTTCTCGGATCAGAATTTCGTGAGGGACATTGTGAAAGGTATGAGCCGTCTATCCATGCACGACAGTGGTGTGACCTGGTGGCTAGCGAATGGAAGCAGCAACAGCGGCTGCATGATACTAACAACAACTTCGCAGGAGTCCTACACACAATCTTTTTCCACCGATACTTTCCCTCCATCCGGCCGTCCTTGTACACTCCCTCCTCGGCCGTTTCATACAGCAGCGGTCGCAGCCAAGAGTCGTTACCCATCCCACTTCCTGCCATTCACGAACCGGTAGAGATCTCAGCCGCCATAGATGCTCATGCAGCGGCTCTCGTCAGCCAGCTGACATCGTCTTCGAATGCCGGCGCCAATGGTTCCCGAGGCGAGATCGTGGTTCAGTTGTTTGACCGAAAGAGGAGAAAGGCGGGTATAACCGGTGGCTGGCTCGGTCGACTGGGAGGTGGTCATCAGACGGAGGAAGAGGTATGCTGGGAAGAATGGGTCGTTCAGGTCGTCGTTGCGAGACCGAGAAGTGAAGCAGGTAAGAAGGTTCCGTGATGGTGCGGCTTCCGTGCTGACTTCCGGCAGATCGAATAAAGGTTCGACGGGCAATGGAGACGTCTCTACAGAAGGCTGCCATGAAGATCGTGGCTATAGTCAACAGAGATAAGGATCACATCCCGCCCATTTTGACGAGCGAGCAGAATCCATTCCCGTACAAGATTCTCGTCAATCCGCGACAGCAGCAGAGCCTAGATCGAGGGTTCGGCGGCTGGACCTGATGACAGATGTCGCGGACGAAATGGAAGTCTTATGATACCCGGAGGACATACACATGGTCGTTTCAAATGTTTGAGTCTAACAGTTGAGGTGTATGACAGGAATAGCATGAACGAGCAAGCATAGACGAGCAAGTACACGTTAGCATCGCGGGTCTGTGAGGAGGAACCCCATTTGAGGTGGTGCAACATG